CCCTCCGCCAATGCCCTGCACACACAGCAGTGGGCAGCAAGGGAAGCCCCTCCCCCAGGCTTCCTGCCCTTCAGGCCCTCTGCTGGGTGTCGGCCTCGCCCAGTGCTCATGCTGCGTGGAAACGTGTCCAGGTGTGCTATGGCTCCTCCTTGCCGGGTAGGGGTCCAGGTGTAGCCGGGCCACCGCTTGTCCACATCAGTGGACACAAAGGGGCTTCAGGGAGTTTGTGATCCTTTCCACCTGAAGCCCTGTGCAGGCCCTTGGGGGCTGAGGTAGGGGTGGTCCTGGCTTTGTCCTGTGGGCCTGACCCCACCCACAGAAATGCATCCACATGGGCTGAACTGCCGGGCCACTCATTGCAGGGAGGCGCCTCACAGCCCAGCGGGTGCACGGTGACCAGACGCTGGCTGTGACAAGGACAGGGGTCGGTGTGAAGGACAGGAAGGGGCTCCCTGAGACCCCAGCAACTTGACACCAAGGTGGCAGTCACGTTGTTGGCAGTGCAGGAAAATGGGTATTGGGGTGGGCCCATGGGCCCCTCGCAACCCCCGCCCACTAACCCTGGCATCTTGTCTTGTGTCCCGTCCTGCAGGTTCTGTGGGGACCCCACTGCCAGGTGTGCAGGTGCGCATTGTCTCCGAAGGTCCGATGCGGGAGGCTGGCCTCCACACAGTGCATGCCGAGGGGGATGAGAACAGGACCAAGGTATGGTGGGGGAGGAGGGGCATGTGCAAGCATGAGGGGCTGCTGTGTGTAGGCGTGTCGGGAGGGACATGTGCATACCTGACACGAGGGCGGGGGTGTGTGTAGGGTGGGCAGGTATGAGCCGGGCTAGGAGTCTGTGTACAGGTGTACAGGTGTAAGCGGGGAGCCCCATGTGCAGACGTGTGCCAGGGGGGAGGTCTATGTGTAGATGTGGGCTGCAGGGAGAGGTGTGCGTGTGCAGGCGTGAGCTGGGGGGTGTCTTGTGGGGGCGAGGACATGGCTCCTGGCTGTGTGGCACCTGAGGGCAATGGCTGACAGGCAGGCTCAGGCTGCTCCCTTTATTCCTCGGTAGGTCTGCTGTGATGGGAAGACCCCACCCCCCACCCCCTGCTTGCCCTGCGCTTGGACTGAGCCGTGGGGCTCCTGCCCTCTTGTCCCGTTCATCCCCATTCCCTCTGCACCCCGCACCCATGCCTCTCACACCACCTCCATCTCTTCCCACCACTCATCCTCCCCGCCAGCCCTCGTCCCCTCCGTCCTCTCAGCCTCCTAGGGCCTCCCCCAGGGCACTGTGCGCCTTGCTTCCATGTGCCCTTCCCCGCCCGCCGCCCGCTGGTTCTGCCTGTGAGCGCGCAGGCACAGCGGGCATTGTCTCGTATGGATGTCATTTTATCTTTCCAGCTGTTTGCTTGCATGCGCATCACGTCAGTAGATAAGCATCCACAGCTGCGAGCCATGCCCCCGCCATCCCAGCAGCCCCTCTCGGGAGAGTGGAGGGCCCCTGGCTGGGTGACCAGCCTCACTTTATCTCCCCCCAGAAATTAAGGGCCTGGTGCATCCAGTGCAAATGGTGACCCGGGGCAGCAGCCCCCCTCCAGCCACCCCTGGCTCTGCTTCCCGCCCACCCCCCCGGAACCCATGCCATCCTCCTGGGGCCACACCTGTCTCTGACACCTGATGCAGTGTGGGTTTCCGTGGAGCAAGGGAGAGGCCCACTCTGAGCAGTGCTCGCCCTGGTGACGCCGTCCTGAGACCACGGCCCCCAGCCCTGGGCTGCTCCTGGGGCAGAGCTCTGTGGGCCACGTGGTGGGTCAGGCGTGCTCTGTCCTGGCTCCCGAGGGAGAGCGGGAAGGCGCTATGGGCTGGGCTGCAGTCACTCAGCCCCGGCAAGCCTTGGCAAGGCCAAGGGTGGGAAAGAAGGGTCAGCCCAGAGCTGGTGACCCAAGTGGGGTGGGGACTGTGAAGAGCAGAGAGGGCCCCAGATCCCACAAGGAGAGGTTGCATCATGGGTGCAGGGGGCGGGCTGGATATGCCACCAGAAATGCACGTCAGAACCGCCGTCTCTGGGAATGGGCTCTGGGCCGGCAGCCCTCCTGACTTGTCCCATCTGGGCCTGTGAGCATGGCCTTCCAGCCTCTGTGTGTGTGTGTGTGTGTGTGTGTGTGTGTGTGTGTGTGTGTCTGCCCTCCAGGTCACATAGCCTGTGTGTGTGTGAGAGAGCGTGCACACATGCTGTGTGAGAGAGTGCATGTTGTGTGTGTATGTGTGAGCGTGTTGTGTGTATGCCTGTCTGTCTGCCCTCCAGGTCAGTGGCCTGTGTGTGTGTGTGAGAGAGAGAGAGTGCATTGTGTGTGTGTCTGTCCGTCTGCCTGTCTGCCCTCCAGGTCAGTGGCCTGTGTGTGTGTGTGTGAGAGAGAGAGTGCATTGTGTGTGTGTCTGTCCGTCTGCCTGTCTGCCCTCCAGGTCAGTGGCCTGTGAGAGAGAGAGAGAGGCGGTGCCGTCGCTCTGAGCATCCCTGGAGGAAGCAGCTGCTGGCACCTAGGCAGGGTGGACACACACTGAGTGCGGGCACTGCTCTCACCATGAGTCAGTCCTCTCAGCAGCTTGTGGGGCTAGCCTGAGGTGGTAGGAATCCCTTGTGGGTGCCTGGAGGCAGCAGCAGCTTCTAGGGCCCCCCAAAATGGTGGTGCGCCATCTGCTGTCTCTGAAGTGGTTTGAGACTGGGGACGGATGGACAGACGTGAGCCCGTGTGGTTCCACTGGTCAGCCCAGCCCACACCCTAACACAGGCAGGTAGGTGGGAGAGCATTCGCACTGTGTGAATGGAGAGGCACAGGCCTACCCCACAAGCCCCACCCACGGAGGCCCACCCACATGGCCTCCAACCATGCCTCCCACCGGGCTGCACCACACACAGAACCTGTAGCCACATCTCCCCGCCAACCTTGGGGTTGGGGACTAGGACTCCTGCTATCGACATGCACAAGGGGAAGCCGTGCTGTCAGGCACCATGCAGCCTTTACACACCCTTGGAGGGCACTCTGCCTGCGAGGAGATGTTGACCAGGGCACCCAGGGTCCGCTCCCGGTGGGCGAGGCCCCTGCCTTCAGCCCTGGCGCAGGTTGATGCCTGGGCACCAGGGACAGCTCTCTCTGAGTCACGAGTTAGTCTGGGAAGGCCGCCCCATGTCCCCCTGGGAGAGGGATGACAAACTGCCCCACTAGCCCGGCACTTCAAGGGCCCTAGAGTTGTGGGGGTGGCGGTAGGAGTGGGGCTGATGGGGGTGGTGCCCAGTCAGGGGCGTGGAGTGGACGTGGGGTCTGGTCGTGTGCATCAGGCATGGGGAGAAGTGGAGTAGGTGGTGGTGGTGATGGGCGAGGGGCAGGGGTGGGGGATGATGGAAATGAGGGGCAGGGGACGTGGGTCCTGGTTGGTGGGGGCTTAGGGGGTGGGTGTGAGGGGCAGGGGATTCGGGGTAGGGGTGGAGGGGGTGGGTGTGAGGGCCTGGCTGACAGTGTGTCTGGCATGGGAGGCAGGGACGTAGGGGTACAGAGGGCATGTGGGTACAGGGTCTGCACTTGGCTTCCAGGGCTGTGCTCACGCCCTCCCCTCCATTGCAGGTGACGCCGGGCTTTGAGGAGAAGGAGGGGGAGCTGCTTGTCAGGGGCCCCGCGGTGTTCCGGGAGTACTGGGACAGGCCGGATGAGACGACACGGGCGTTCACGCCAGATGGCTGGTTCAAAACAGGTGGGACCTCGGGTGGGCTGGCCAGCAGTGGCCGTGAGTGACCCCCGGTGGGGCGGAGCAGGGAGCCGAGGGATAGCAGGGGTTGTTGGTGAAGGAGACACCCCCCCAATGGCAGAGTGCGGGCACAGACACTGCCCTGTGCTGGGCGGGCCGAGGCAAGTACCCCTTCACGCACGCACGCGCACACACACACACCCGCTGCCCCGCTTGTGCTCCATGCTGCAGCCTTCCCAGGGGACCGCGAGCCGAGACTACCACACAGAACTGCAGGTAACACAGAACTGCAGGTCAGACTGACGAGCTGCTGCGAGGGAGACTCAAGGTTCTGTTCCTACAGAGATAGGCGGGGCGGCCTCTTCCTGAGCCCCCAGAATAGGCACTCAGACCTGCTCCCCACCTCAGTAGACGTGCACACAGGCAGGGGGGAGGAAGGCAAGGGGAAATGGGGCACCCCTAGCTCCTCTGCAGCAAGACCCCCCTAGGCAGCACACACTATTCCTTCATCAGAGGTGCCCCCCGCCCCCCCATCCTTGCTGTGCTCTCTGAGGAAGACTGGGCAGTGTTGGGGAACAGTGGCCACTGTGCAGGGCCACCTGGTACCCCAGACCCTGAGTGCTGGGGACTGAGAGGTGGCCACATGCTCAGTCAGCCTCAGCCTGAGCTACCATCCTGGCCGGGGTCTCAGAGCCCGTCAGCAGCCAGAGACCCCATGGTGTCGGGTGCCCATTGAGGGGGCTCCAGGTGGGGCACAGTGCCCATCTCCTGGAGGGCAGCACTTAGGATACGGCCCCAGCAGCCACCCCACCTGAGCAGCATCCTCCTGCTGCTGCCCCACGACCCGGCAGCTCGCACCCTCTCCAGCCAGCTGAGGGTGCGGGTCCCCAGGGGCCCACAGGCTCACAGCCAGGAGGAGCCAGACCTGTGATCTGTGTCTGTCTGGGAAGCCCCGGGGCCATGTCTGCCTTGAACCTGCCTGTCTGTCTGCGCCCTCCTGGCTATACCCCGGGGCTGGGACTCCCCCTCCCACCCCTTTCTCCTCTGCAGGGGTTTTCTGTCCCTGCTCAGGAAGGGGGGCCTGCCTCCCACCAAAAGGAAGAGCATGCATTAATTATTGCAAAGAAGTGGCTTCGGGAGAAAAAGATTTTGAGATCCCGTTTAATCTATTGTGACGCGCTGCGAACAGGAAGGGCGAGTATGCTTCTCATCGGCCCTTGGGGTGCAGCCTGGGGCCTGTGCCTTTGTCACAGGCCAGCAGCCACACAGACTGGTAATGAGGCCCACAGCCAGCACAGCTGCGCTCCTGTGGGAGGGGAAGAAAGGGGAGAGGCGGGGAGAGCCGCCCGAGCTTAACCCTCTGCTCACTTGCTGGGGAACCAGGCCCCCCAGCCACAGCCCCTATGTGCAGACCAGGTTCCTCCCACACGTGGGGAGCAGGCCAAGGTCCCCCCATATGCAGGGAACAGGCCGAGTTCCTGCCCCGCCCATGTACAGCCTAGTGCCCCCGTGTGCAGGGAGCAGGCCTGTGCTTAGGCCCTGTTGGCTTGTTGCACAGGTGTGTGTGTGTCTGTTGGTGTTTGTGCATCTGGGTATGTCTGGGTGTTGGTGTCTCTGCGTGTGTGTCCCTGTGTCCTCGAGCATGCATAGGTGTTCCCTGGGTGGATCTTGGGCCATGTGCAAAGGCCCTCCCCCATCCTCCTAACCTGTGGTGGTGTCGCTGTGGGGCCCCAGCAGTCAGCTGATGGTGGTGTGGCGATACCTGAGTTTACCTTGGGGCCCCTGGTGGCAGACGCCAGTGGCATCTGTCCAGTGCTTGTCACTGGCCATCAGGGCATCCTCTTGGGCCTTTCCTTCACCCCATCTCAGTGGACACTTGGTTTGCTTGTTTCACGGCCGTGTGTGAGTCCCTGTGTCGGCCACCTCGGCTGTTACAGGGTCTGCGGAGCCTCCAGGAGCTGCAGGGGCCCCCCGTGCCCCGCTTCGAGGTCTGACTCCTTGTGGCCTCACTCAGCCTCTGCTCTGTGTCTCCCGTCAGTGTTCACGCCCATGTGGAATCGAGGGGTTGTCTGCACTCGGGGCCAGGACACCCCAGACCAGGACACGGCCCTCTACTCAGGACCTCAGTTCTGTGCGACTGGGGCCCTGGCAGCCCCTGCACCTGCTGTCAGCCTGTGTCTGACACCCCCCAGGAGCAGCTTCAGCCTCCCACCACTGTCCCTAGTGGGAAGGGACACTGGGTCAGACACCCCTCATTCTGCAGAGAAAGTGGGCTCTCAGACCAGGACCCAGCAAGTGGTCATGGCAGGGGGTGGGGGGGTGTCCCAGGGCTGAGGTACACACGTGCACACGTGACCCGAGTACACCCACGTGGACTGGGCCCTTAGCGTCTGCCCCTCAGGGCTTCTGATGGACCTGGTGCTGGGTGCAGGGTGGGCTGTGGGCTGGCATCAACAGCAGCTCCTCTTCGCAGGGGACACAGCGGTGTTCAGGGAGGGCAGGTACTGGATCCGAGGGCGCACCTCTGTGGACATCATCAAGAGCGGGGGCTACAAGCTCAGCGCCCTGGAGGTGGAGCGGCACCTGCTGGCTCACCCCAGCATCACAGGTGAGCGGCCGAGAGGGAGTACTTGGGGACTCATGGCCTGGCCTCCCATGCATTTAGAGCTGTCCCAAGGCCTCACCTGTGTCTGCCCACAGATGTGGCTGTGATCGGAGTCCCTGATATGACATGGGGCCAGCGGGTCACTGCTGTGGTGACCCTCCATGAGGGGCACTCACTGTCACAGCAGGAGCTCCAGGAATGGGCCAGGTGAGGACTGGTATGGAGTGAGGGGCATGCAGGGGGGCTGGCTGTGGCTGTGGGTGAGGAAGGGGGTGCTGATGGAGGCTGTGTGAAGAGGGTCAGGGGGCTGATGGAGGCTGTT